AAGCTGAACAGAGAACATCTGAACTGTAATCATCAATATTAGAAAAAGAGATAAGAAATCTGATGAAGACTACTCACAGCACTTCATGAAATTATGATGTGAATTAAGATCTGTGAAAACAGGGCTCTGAAATAAGATCTGAATAATGATATTTATGAAGAGACTGAATAAAGACATGCAGAACAAGCTCATTGAGCAAGACTCTAAGTTCTTAACTCTGAAGAAACTAATAACTCTCATTCATCACTTACAGATCACTGTAAGAGTCACAGACCTGTGAAGAGCAGATTATCAATCAGCTCTGCAAGAGTCAGAATAACAGAGAACAGATTTGTCAGAAAAAGATGATAAGATATAGAGAGATTCATGTCTGACTGCTGAGCAGAGAGAGAGAGCTTTACAAGCTTCTGTAAATAGAGTGTATAACAGAGAGATTAAGAAAAAGAAACTCTGCTTTATCTATTCTAAATTAGAATATCTCTGTACAAACTGTCTGAATAAATTAAAATAGAAATTTGAGAAGTTACAGACAGAGTCAGTAACAGTCTTCTTAAGAGTCTTAAAGCTGATACCTGAATCTGTTACTCTCTCAATGAAAATGCTTACTCACAGAAAGAGATCATATCACAGTACTGCTGTCTTACAAGTATGAAAAGTATTGATGAACTCAGGATCTCAGATCACTGTGATGTCTCTGAAGCTCATAGAGTGAATAAGCTGAAAGATGAAGACTGAGAATCTACTCTTGTAATAAGCAGGGTGTGAGAACTCAGATCTGAGAGCTGAGAAACTTATAAGAGTTATCTTTGAATTGCAAGATCTCTCTGAAATCTGAAGAAGATTTGCAGAAACTGTGATTATTGTGAATATTATAGATGATATGTAGTTGAAACTTGCATGACTTCAAAGACATAATTCATATATAGCTGTTCATGAGTCAGGTTTATACTTCTGATCAGTGTTGACAGACTTACTCATATAGATAGAATCAGTTGATACTGTAGAGTTAATCAGAGAAGATAAGCTCATCTATATAATGACTTTGTAAGTGTCTGAGAATCTTGCAATTATGAAAACTGAGCTTCAGATATCAGAGAAATACTGAGATCTTACAGAGATATTTAGCTCAGTAAAGACAGCTGAGCTTTCTTCTCACTGTGAGAAGAATCTGATAATAGATTTGATAGAAGAATAGAAACTCTTCTGAGAATCAATCTATAAGCTCTTTCATTATGAGACAGAGATCTTATAAATCTATATGAAGAAGAATCTGAAGAATGACTTTATTTGATCTTCATAGATCTTCACAGAAGCCTCTGTGATATTTATAAAGAAGAAGAATAAAGATCTCAGATTGTGTATAGACTATCATAATCTGAACTTCAAGATAATAAAGAGCTGCTATTCTCTATCTCTGATTGAGAATGTAATTAACTGTCTCACAGAAGCTGTTATATTCATACAACTGAATATAATCAATGTATATACACAGCTGTGAATATAATCTGAGAATGAATGAAAGACTGTCTTTAGAACTGCACTGAAATTGTTTGAATATCTAGTGATGTCTTTTAATCTGACTAATATCTCTGCAGCATTTCAGTCTTTCATCAATAAAATACTTTGTATATATCTGAATATCTTCATAGTAATATATCTGAATGATGTGATAATGTACTCTATGAAGAAGAAAGAACACACTGAGTATGTGTGAAGTGTGTTGAAGATCTTAGATAAGACAGAACTGTATGTTAAGCTTATGAAGTACAACTTCAGTGCTCACTGAATTAATTTTCTAGAATATGTAATCACTGCAGATGATATTCAGATAAAATCTTCATAGATTGAGACTATTCTATTATAACTGAAGTTAACTAGTATTCATGAGATTCAGATCTTTCTGAGCTTTGTGAATTTCTATAGATGATTTATCTTTGTGTTTATGAGAATCTTCTTAACTCTTACAGACATGCTGAAGAGTGAAAATAAGAAGAAGTCATTCTGTAAATGAAGAATGAAAAGATTATTGAAAAGAAAGAACTGTAAGAACTTTCTTATCTCAGAAGCTCATAAGGTCTTTACAAGATTGAAACAGATATTCACAGATACAGTGATGCTATTTCACTTTAATTTCTTACTCTTAATCAGATTAAAGATAGATGTCTTCTTCTTTATGATTTCAGAAATAGTCTTGTAACTATAGTTAAATAAGAACTGAGTTTCAGTGATCTTTTTCTTATGAAAGATGCAATCTACAGAGATCAACTATGATATTCATAATCAGAAGCTTCTCATAATAGTGAAATTCTTTTATCACTGATGTCACTACTTTGAGAACCTTGTAACAGTGATTACTGTTAGAACTAATCATGACAGCTTATAACAGTTTACTTCAACTAAGAAACTCTTATAATAGTAGATTTACTGAGCTCAGAGACTGAGTGAGTTCTGATTCAAGATAGAATATATTAAGGAAACTAAGAACTCAGTGAATAAATCCTCTCACAGATCAGACTATGTTAAGAAGATCAGAGTGACAGATATAGAGAGACTAGAGAAGATAGAAAAACTTCATGAAATGCTCAGACTGAGTATTATAAAGAGATTGATTGAAGAGTCTCTTAATTTCTTATAAGAGAAGAGAGAAAAGAGAGAAAAGAAGTCTGTGTAACTACTCTCTATAACACTGAGAGTTAACACTCTGAGAATCTCTGTAAGAATTCTTGAAGAGAGTAGCTATAATCTGAAGAGTTTGCAGGCTTTGAGAAGCACTGCAGAAGACCTGATGCAAGAAGAAACAGAGTATAAGTTTTTATAAGATCTTCTATACAGATTGTCTGAACTACAACTGAAGAATGAATATGCTCAGTATATTTGAAAACTGCTTATAGCAGAGATCAATCCTGCAGTAGTAAAGAATTGAAGAGACTTAAATAATCTCTTATGAAGAGAGAACTGAATTTATATGCCTGTGAATGAGTTTCTATGTGTAGAACTTATTAAAAGATATTATGACTCTTCTCTAGTGAGTTATTTTACAGATACTAGAACTTATAAGTTGCTTATAAGAAAATACTTCTGACTGAAGATGTGAGAACTTGTGAAGAAGATAGTGAATTCTTATACTATTTGTCAGAATTTGTAGATAGTGTGATTCAGGCTATATAAAGAACTTACTTCTCTACTCATTTCACAGAAACCTTGAGAACAGCTAGAAATAAATGCTCTTGTGAGTCTCTCTGAAAGTAAGAATATATATAATGCCTGCTTTGACAGTGTGCTGATGATAGTGAATTACTTTATTAAGATAGCATACTTTATACTCATCTGCAAGAACTTGAAGTTAAAGAATTTAACTTATATCTTTATCTGTAATATGATTCAGTTGTATGAATTATCTATGAACATTATCTCAGATAGAGAATCAATCTTTATAGAAGAGTTCTGATCTGATCTGATGACTATACTGAAGATCTTGTGAGATCTAAGTATGACTTTTCATCAACAGACAGATAATCAGATAGAATACTTGATGAGTATATTGAAACAGTATCTACAGTACTTTGTCAATTACAATCAGAATGACTGAATGTATTGATTATTACTTACAGAGTTTGTGTACAACAACTCAAAGCATGTCAGCACAGATAAAACCCTCTTTGAGATACTCACTGAGACTCATCTGCAGATAATCTTGATAAACTTGTGAGAGTACACTATAGAGTGTAATAATGTCTGTGAATGAGCTGAGAGAATTCAGAATATCTGAGAGAAAGTCTGTAAATTCTTGAGAAAGACTCAAGAGTATCAGAAGAGATACTATGACTTTAAGCATATTATGAAGAGTTTCAAGAAAGATAATAGAGTCTGACTGAGTTTAGAAAATATCATTATACAGAGATCTAGTAAGAAGCTGAATCTCTTGTAGATAGAGTCTTATAAGATTATAAAGAAAGTTAGCTTATAGTTCTACAGATTGAAACTGTTATCTGAGTTACAGATATATAATGTTTTTCATGTCTCTTTGCTCTGTGAATATAAGAAATTCTTAGAAGAGAATTCTGTGACTTATCACTCTGTTCATGAAGCACTAGAGAGTGAAAGAGAATATCAGGTCAAAGAAATTATTGACTCAGAGAAGTGAGATTGTGAGCTCTGATTCAAGATTCAGTGACAAGAGTATTCTGATAAGATGAATGAGTTTATTTGAGAATTATTCAGACAGATAAGACATCTGCAGAAGCTGAGACATGACTTTTATACTGTGAATTCTGATAAGTTAGAATGACACAGTCTTTACTAAGAACCTGATTATAATAAAGATATTAACACTGTCATTTATAAACTCTAGTCTATAAGATGATGAATTTCTACTGAGATGAACAGTCTGCAGTGTATACAAGAAAAGAAGAAATTATATTCTCATTAAAGCTAAAAAATAAGAAAATAAACAGAGCTGTGAACACAATTTGAAGACTAATAAAGAAAAAATAAAGAAAACTCAAATTCACATTCTTAATATCTGTGATACTCAATCTCTTCATAACTATCAATTTTTCTCTTCAAAGAAGCAGAGAGTATTATATCTGTGATACAGATAATTGTTACATTTGACACAAAGACTGTCAGAAATACATAGACTTCAGAGAAGCTGAATATCAGAGTATATACAGTTGTAGCAGAGTCTTGAAGACTGGTTATCTGTGTGTGTGATCAGATACTTCTTATAAAGCTATATTCACTCTCTCAGTTGTGCTGAAGTATTCAGTCTGAAAACAATTGAGATATGAAGAGAGAGCTCATCTGCTCAGACTAACTCTTATTATGAATTTATGACATTCACATTATCTTGATTACTCAGATTTTACAGATACTCAGAGACTCATCTCTTATTAACAATGAGATTGCAGAAATATGCTGTGATGTGAGAATCATTGATAGAGAATCTAGACATATTTGCATATATCTGATCAGAGATTGTGCAGGCAGAGAAAGAGTGATTATAGATCTGCAGAGTCACAGAAGACACTGATAATATCAGAAGCTTTATAAGAACTGTCAGCTAGAGTCTGTAAGAAATTACTTATAAGAAGACTTACAGCAAAGAGAGAAACTGCACTGCTTGAAGCCAGGAACTGATCTGAGAAAGACAGAGAGTTGACTGCTGACCTGAAGATCAGATGCAGTGATAAGACTGAAGAGAATGAAGATACAGTTATAAGCAGCAGCATCTCTGCTTCATCAGCTGGTAAAAAGTAATTAGAAAAGTCATGAAGATATTCATAAGAAGCTCAGCAGCAGTCAGACATTGTTGTGAAGATATTGAAATTAAAAAATTTTTATTCTTGAGAAGTTCTTAAATCAATATACAGATATTATCAGAAACACTCTCTCTCTGTTATCTGAATGAAAACACTTTATGAATGAATAAGAATACTCACAGTTTGTAAGAATGAGAGCTGTTATAGAAAAAGAGAAAAGAAGATGAGATTTCACAGACAGATCTGAGATATTTATACTACTCTAGAGAGATTTGCTTACACTGTGAGTGATTCTGCAGAACAGTCAGATCACTCTAGTAAATAAAAGTGATTATGAATCACAGGTCTGAATCTTTCTATGTGACTATAAAGAGTGATTGCAGACTGTGAACATCTTGATTCTATAATTCTACAGAGTTAGTAAAAGAATGAAAAATTTCTCACAATTCTACAGTATCAAAGAACAATGATTAATGAGAATGAGTGAAAGATCAACTCATGAATGTTTCTCTTTGATAAGAGTGATCTCACAGAGAGTGATTTATCTATGAGATAAATCTGTGTAATGATCACACAAGAATCTTATGAAAATGATTAAGAGTCAACTGAAACTCTTCTGTATGAAAGATGTGAGATGAATCTGTGTGATAGTCAGAGAAGAATCTGTAGATTACAAAGAATCTCACAGAATAAGAAACTGAGTGATAGACTCTTTTCTCTTCATAGTAATAAGAGATTTTTCCTCACTGAGATTTTTTATAAATGTGAAGAGTTTTTAGTGTGTATCACTGCAGTGCTGAGCTGACTATGAAGTCACTCAGTGAAAGGCTTCACAGACAAAGTCTTAGAGAGAGAGAAATATGTAAGAAATCTCACTTCTTACAGATTCTTTATCTCTATTTCTGTCTCTCACATAATCAATAGAGCTAGCAGCCCTTGGCTATATACAACTATATAGACTGGAGTTCACAAATACTATTCATAACTCAGCTTAAATGCTATTATACATTTGATCTCTACATTTTATCTTTCTACTGTGAATACTTCTAGTAGTTAACAGTACATATCACGCCAAGCTGCAAACACCCGAATAATCGCCTGCGAGTACTTATTCTTACACTATTGAAGATATTCTGTCAGATTCACTCTTATCTCATCACTTATAAGAGTCTCATCTCTACTGATCTTCATACACTCAATCTCATGCTGAAGTCTCGCAATTTCCAGTCTTATATAAGTCTTCTTACTTGCTGAGCTATTGTCATTTTAGTCACTTGAGCTCTCTGCATTGTTTGACATCTCACTGATGATGCCTTCAATCAGATCTTTATATACATTAAACTTATCAGACTGTTCTTCTGTGATAATTTCATTCAGCTCAAATACCTCAGAAGCCGCCTTCTGATTCATTATTAGTATTAACAGTGATCTGTGATCTTGCATTTACTGCTCTAGTGTTTTCTCATTTTTCTGTCTTAGAGACATGTATTCTTTTGTTAAGTCAGATATTTCTCTGAATCTTAGATTAATTATAAGTTCAATCACTCAATAAATTATCTAGGCACACTTGTAACAACATGTGAAGATGTCAATTGTAGACTGACCGTGTGACCGTGTCTGAGACCAGGATCAAACTTTACAGTTATCATGTTGCCTAAAAGCATTACTTCTGATCATGATTTGTGTTTATCACATTGATCTCAAATCACATTATTTCAAATATTAAAGGTCTCAGATTCACTTTTCAAATAAAAATCTAGTTCTGAATAAAGAATATGTTTGAATTCTTAGTCACATTTTCATTCTGATCTCATTATTGAGAATGACACTAAATGAGATCATGAAATCACTTCTCACTTACATAATATCATAACATAGTGCTCATTTGTTGAAAATTCAACAGAGAGTGTTACTAAATATCATTACTTTTCTGAACACAGATCATAATTTATATAATTTTAATTATGAAAAAAATATAAAATACAAAAAAAAAAATAAAAAACAAAAAACAAAACAAAAACAAGAAAAAAAAAAAAAAAAGAAAAGGAAAAGAAAAAAACAAAAAATAAAAAAAAAAAAAATCAAGGTCGCAGAGCTGCAGCATTCTCAAAATACTCACTTCTCAGAGTCTTTACAATGTTCATTATCAACTATGTATCTCTCACAGTGAGAGTAACACAGTCATGATAAGTCATTGTCTTAACATCATCTAACAAATAATCAGTATATATCTGTATAAATGTGAATATTTAGAAAATATACACTTAAAAAGTGTGGCCAGGGTGAACTCTGCTGTCACTTGAATAATATCAAGAGCAGAATACTGAAATTGATGATTCTCTTCATTGATTTCACAGACAAGGTTTATTATTATTATTATTCTTCAATTATAGATGTATGCAGTCAGAGACTATGACATCTACCTGAGAACTTTAGTTCTCAGGGTTTTTTCTATGTCTGTAAAGTTAACTATTATACATTCATCAATTTCAGATATGCAAAATCAGAAAATTCCAGCCCAGAATACAAAAACTGTTTACAAATTGCAGTGTTTTAACATCTTTTGATACTTTGAAATCATTTGACAATATCATGACAAAAGAAAAGAGAAAAAGAACACAGTCTCAAAGATAGACACATTAAGTAAATAGATAGAAAGAAATTGAAAGAAAAAGATAAAGAAAAAGATAAAGTAAAGAGAGACTATAACAAAACAAATTATTAAAAGAGAGTGTATAGCTGTTTTAACAGACTATATCTGATTAATTTCCTCCTCTTCATACTCAGATAATTCTGAATTTAGTCATTTTCTTGTAGCTGCTTGAGTTTCTGATAGAAAGTCTATTAAGTATTTAATTCCTGTCTCAGTTGAGAATAAGAATCTCATATTTAATTGATTTAGATCATACTTCTCTTTCAACCTGGCTCTGAGACTATTGTATAATGCACAGTGCATTACAATATGCTCAGGATTCTCATTTGTATTGCAGAATGAGCATTCTATTGAGTCAAATCTATCATCAAATCTTTGTATATAAGATTTGAATTAGTCATGTCCTACTTTCAGCTGTATTATAGATGAGAATATTTTCTTTTTACATTTAATTGAACAAGATTTCCACTTGGGTTTTGTTTCAAATCTTGAATAATGTATACTCTTCTTTTGTTTCTGCCAGCTTTCATTTCACTTGTCTAAACAAGATTCTTTTATTTTTCTCTTTATAAAAGACCAGGACATAATTTTTTGAATAGATCTGCTTAATTCTGCACCCTTTTTTGCAGCTGAATCAGCCAATTCATTACCATGAATATTCATGTGAGCAGGAACTCAGTGCAGATGAATTATTAGCTTTGATGTTCTTCTCTTTTGAATTTTCAAAACAGAGTTTAAGATCAGTTCAAGATTCATTTGATCATTATGAATCTGACTATTTCTAAGTCTTTTTAAAGCAGCTTGACTATCAGAGAATATTCATGCCTCTTTCAAACAATTTCCTCTTTTATGAGATTTTATTTCAATGAGTTTGAAAGCTTTCACTATTACAAATAGTTCAGCATCAAAGACTTCACATTCAGAGCCTAGATTCCAGAAATCTGAGATAAAATTAATATTATCTTCAGTATAAGCAATGCCTGCGCCTAATCTATTCAAGTTCTCATTTTTTGAGTCATCTGAATAAACCAGAATAGAGTCTTTTATATTGATTGTAGAAATTCTCTTCAAATGCTGTTCATATTCTTTCTCTTTTGATAGTTCACTTATTTGTAAGTCTATAAGAGATTCAAGCTTTTCTCTCCAGGGAGATAACTTCTCATGATCAACTTTTTCAACATTTAAAGAAGAAAATTGATTTTTAATCAGAGAGCATAGTCTGTACAGTTGAGAAGGCATTTTCTTTGAAGAATTATTTTCATTTCAATCAAGAAATCTATTCCAATCCAGTTCATTTCCAGAGTTAATTGGTGGAAATGAAGAAGAGACTCTTTCTCTGATTATATGATTTGAGCTCATCTTTACAACTCTCAGAGCATAGTTCATACAGGCCTTTTCAAATCTAATAGCAGGAGGAGGAATTGAAGCTTCAATTTCCATTGCTTTAATAGGAGATGATTTGAATGCTCTCAGAATTCTTCTCAAGGCTCTGTTTTGCGTCACAGACAAGGTGAGTGAAGATGATCTTGAGAAATATAAAATTCTCTGACTTCTGATAAAAACAGATCTCATGAAGAGACTCTATTTTCATAATATCAGAGACTGAATATTATCAAAAAGCATTACTTTCATGTAATGCACATGCACTTACTGTAATGATTCATTCTCTGTGCATGTGATCAAGAATTGCAGCTTTTCCACACTACACAGCTCTCTCTGAGATGCTGATGTTAGTTTGCAATTCACACAGTCTCCCAGTTCAGGATGTGCTGTGTGTATACAGCTCTGTGTGCTGAGGCCGTGTTGATCATTATAACCTGATGTGATACTCACTTTTCGCGGGCCATGTTTCATTTGAGAGAGGGGGGAAGACGCGACTGTGATTTTATTGAGAGAGGATGAATAATTAGTAATATTGAATGTAATTTGATTCTTCTGCATTTAAAATTTGATTAGTCTATACTCTTCAATTTGAGGGTTTCTAAGAGTGTTTTAATAGTTTTCATACTGGCTTGAACTTAGTGATGAGTTGAAGAAGAAGAGAAAAGAGAGAAGAAAGAAATGAGAATAACTTATCTTTATAATATGAAAACAGAGAATCACTGTAATCATTCTCTCTAGTAATAAAGATCTATTTTCTGCATGTATCTCTGATATAGATTATATGATAACTGTATACAAAGAATATCAACACTGCATGCATTGAATGAAGATGATGTTGCTATGCAACACTGTAGCTGTTTTTATATATCTCTGAAAGCTGTTAATATTTTCTTTATCTCTTTATATTTGATAAGTCAGTAATATATTTCAATGCACTTCTTCTTTCATCATCATCATCATCATCATCATCATTATTATTATTATTATCATCATCAACATTATCACTATTATCATCATCATTATCATCATTATTATTATTATCATCATTATCATTATTATATCATTTCTGATCATCTCTTCTATCTTCACCTCTCTTCAACACTCACTGAAATCAATTATGTCATTTCTCTTCAAATATTCTACAGTTCTGTGAATCACCAAGGCGCGTGAGCACTATCACAGATTGAAGAGAGAGAAGAAGAAGATGTTTAAGCAAGAGAAGACAGATTGCAAGGCATGTTATAATACCTTGAAGAGACTTTGTAAGAGAGTAGAATGATAATGATTTTAAGTAACACTTCTGATAGATTTAGACTGAACTAAGTATAGAAATAATGTGAATGACATCATCTGTGAGAGATTAAAGAAGAAGACAGTGAAGAGCCTCATGCAGCAGTACTGAGATCAGAAGAAGTCTCAAGAATGATTTGAGTTCAAGATAAAGAGAGAGAGAGAGAAGAAGAGTATTACTGTAAATAAGCAGCAGCAGAAGAAGATTGAGAGAGTGTTAAAGTGAGAGATAAAGAAGTCAAAACTGATAAGTTTTTTACTTATTGAGAGATAATGATTTTTGATAACACTTCTATTCTCTAATTGATTAGCAGAAGCTGGCAGAGAAGAAGGAAATTGAGGTCTTATTCAGGTCTTGAATGCACTTCATGATTCAGAATATTAAGAAGACAGCTCTGCTCTCTGAGCATGTCAATCTGCTTGTCACTGAGATGAAACCTGAGACAGCAGATCAGAAAATGCGGGATTTTGAGATACAGGTTGATCTGGCTGAGAGAGAGCAGTGAAAACCCTTCTCTGAGAAGGCAGTGAAGAGAGATTTTGAGATGATTATCATCTCAGATGAGAAGGAGAAGAAGAAGAAGAAGAATAAGAAGTAAATTATGAAGAATGATAAGAAGAATAAGAAAGAGAAAAATTAGATTTTTTTCTTTTTATATTAGTTAGTTGTAAGTTTAAGTTTTTAATTATTAATAATTAAAATTGATTTTGAGTTTTCAAAAATTATTGTACAAGTTGTAATCAAGTCAGGAATGATATATATATATATATATATATTTAACTATTATGATTCACAAATCACTATAATGTATAAGTATCAACATTTTTTCAAAATTGATATTCATAATATTAATATATTTTTAATGATATTATCTGATAATGTAATTTGATAATACTCTCTTTTACAATATTAATATATTTCAAGTGTGGTTCGGAAGAACGTACGACCGTCGGATAATACCGCGGCCGCTTCCGAACTACTAGCGTACGCGTACGAGTGTAAAGGGGCCATAGTGTACACTAATTAATTTAGCATATGAGATTACAATATAAGAAGCCGGCGTACGCCTGTAATCATACACTGGCTTAAGCAACCTTTGAATCACATCTGATAGCATGTCTAAAAACTGGTGAGAAGCGCAGGCTCCTCCAGGGCATGATAATTCTGCCTACAAAGCAATTTGTAGTTATCATGCCAGAGTGGTTCTAGAACATCTCAAAAGATAGCATATGAAGAGTGGTGAGCAAAAGAGCATTCAATTGATGCTGCTGCTTCACTTGTTGAGGGAAAACTCCACACCCAGGTGAATGCCACGTATGCGAATGAATGGAGTGTGAGAAAAGGGATGAGAGCAGTGAACCAGATTCAAAGGAGTCCACTCCCTACTCAAAAGAAGGATAAAAGGGGGGGTGGCCACCATCAGAGTCATATGATGATAACAGAAATCATATAACAATATAGCAATAGAACAATATAGCAATATAACAATACAGTGATATAGTGATATAACAATAGATATCATACAATCAATCAGAAACCACTGAAATGAATACCTCCTCTAGCTAATACAAACAACACCCTTCTCTGCTATCTGAACTGGAAGGTATGCAGAACCTCTCAGAGGGTTTACTCAAAGCAGTAAGAAAAGCAGCTGAAATCACTGAACCAGAATCAAAGCTTCATATGCATACAAGGATTCTAAACAAGATCAAGGCCTTGTATACACAGTGGCAGGCTGAGGCAGAGGCTAAACAACAATTGGCATTCACTGCAGACCAAGCATTCACTATGAAGAGCTTCACCGATGCAATCGCCACCATCAATAAGAATAGAGAAAACCAGATCTTAGGCCTGCAGCAGGAGATCGAATGTTTATGCAGACAGGCAACTACACTGAACCTGAAGGTCTCACCATGATTGTTCATGACCTCTTCAGAAGTGTACACACCATCAGAGACCGCTGCGCAGGATGAGAATCCAAGCATGAAATATATCAAGTCAGAAGATCTGCTGGAGCCATCAAGCTTCAATGATGACTGAAAAAATGATGCTGCAATCAGCTGGCTAAGTCAGATGCAATCATATTATCAGATCAAACATGAACTCACAGACAGGCAGTCAACAGAATTTCAACAAGTCTTAAGATCTGCCGCATTCCTACGCGGAAAAGTGAAGTCATTATGAATGACTGGTGAAAAGATGAACCTCACAGACCTGGAGCAATATTCATTCCCATGAATATGAAATGAGTTTTTCAAGTGAATCTTGCACAACTTTGAGGAAGTGGATGTGTGAGACAAGCATTATGAACACTTCACTGAGTGTAGACAAGTGAGCAATCTTACATCATACTTCACACACTTCAGCTTATGCTATCTCGCATTGAATGAAGAGCTTTCAACACCTTTCTATTTACAGATCTTCATCCATGATCTTACACCTGAGTTGAGAGTGGAATGAAAATACTTAACCTCACAGCCAGGCACAGTGAAGAAAGCATACAACATCCTCATCATACAGGAACAAGCAAGTCAATTGTGACAGAAAATACTGCAATCAAGTATGTCTCAGTGGAGAACAGATAATCAGACTTCTACAACACAAGCCACACACTCAGACATGATGAATCTAGATCTGAATGTCATCACTAAAGTGCCGAATCCCCCAAAAAAGAAATCCCCTGGGTGGAAACCTTGGTGTCACAAGCATTGAGCTTACTTCAACTGCAGACACCAAAATCATGATGCAAAAGATTGCACCCAGCATGCACAGTCAAGAGAAGCAAGGGAGTCAAAAAACTAGCAGAATCAGTGAGCTCAAAGACACTCACTGATATTCTATGAAAAGCCTTCAAAGTGAAAGAGATGTCTGTGTTAGATGACCCTCTGAATCCTGCAAATGCAAAGAAGAAGCAGGCTTCTGAATGAGGTGCGGGCGAGGATGATGAAGTGAACACTCACCTCAATGCCTTGAGGCCCGAAATGTTAATGTATAGGGGGCACTTGGGTAAGAATTGAGAGATGGCTGCAAAAGTGTTAGCAGACACAGGAGCTTCTACACAATATATTGATGATCATATGATTCAAAGATTGAAAGGGGTCTGCTGAGTGAAGGATCCCCAACACATAAGATTATCTGATAATCAATATTTGATATCACCTGCAAGAGTAAGAGTTCCCTTGCACTTCAGAGAATGATCTTGCTATATTTGAGCGCGAGAGCTACAGAACATGGAATACAACCTTATTCTCAGACTTGATTGGTTCCAAAGGTTCAACCTGCAGATCCAATGACATACATGCTATATACAGTTGATTAATAGGAAGAAAATGGTTCATACAATCCTACCAACTGATATGAGAAGGACATTCCACGCCCCTGGTATAGAAGGGTTAAATCTGCTTACACATCAACAAGCAAAGAGAATGATTCACAAGACCTCATCTGAAAGCATCCTGTATGTCATACAGGACCCGGAAGCGGAGAAAACCAAGATAAAAGATATGCAGAAGGATAAGCATATGAAGAAGCTTCTGAAGAAGCATGGGAAGGTCTTCTGAACAGATCTTCCACCGGAATTGCCACTGGAACGAGGATTTGTACATGAGATTAACATGGGGGATGCAAAACCAGTCAACCAGAATGCATATCCCCTGTCACAAACACACCTCAAAGAACAGAAGTGTCAGATCACTGACCTTCTAGAACATGGTCTCATACAACCTTCATCAAGCGCGTGGGGCTTTCCAGTCCTATTTATGAAAAAGGCAGGTGAAGAGTGGCGGATGTGTATCAATTATCAAGCACTCAACAAGCTTACAATCAAGAATGAATATTCACTGTCACAGATCCAACAACAGTTGGATACAGTTGAAAACACCTGATATCTATCAAAGATCAATCTTCTCTCAGGATACTGGCAGATCCACATAGGTGAACTGTCAGTCCCGCGAACTGTGTTTAATACACAATGAGGGAAGTTTGAATTCCTAGCAATGTCATTCAGTCTGACAAATGCACCCACCACCTTCCAAACAATGATGAATACAATCCTTCATAAACAGAATAGAATCTCATGCCTCATATACCTCAATGATATCCTAGTCTTTTCAAACTCATACAACAAACATCTGAAGCACCTCAATGAAGTGCTTACAACTCTGGCAGAGCATAAGCTCTACACCAAACCAACCAAGTGTGTGTTTGGAATGGAAGAGTTGGAGTTCGTGGGATATGTAGTGAGTGGTGGCTGTATACACCCCATCCTGGAGAAATTGGATGTCATAGCAAATTGACCGCGGCTGAGGAATGTACACCATGTACAACAGTTTCTTGAGTTGGCCTCATATTACCACAGATTCATCAAGGATTTCGCACAAATATCTGCACCACTCTCAGATCTCTTAAGAGAAACAGATGCAAATCTGCAAAAGAAGAAGTTTCATTCAATCATCTGAAATGCTGCATGCGAAGAGGCTTTTCTCACACTGAGAAAACACATAACAACATCCTCAGTGCTTATTCAACCAGATCATGATAAACCTTTCTACATTGAGACAGACACATTCGAATGGGCTATCAGAGGCGCCCTTCTACAGATGGGCAAGGACGGCAAGCTGCACCCAGTGGCATACAATGGTAGGAAACTATCAGGCGCTGAGCTCAATTACCCAGTGCATGAAAAGAAATTGCTAGTGATCAAGCACACGCTGGCATTGTGAGATAGATATATCAACAACAGGCATACAACAACAGTGATCACAGATCATGAAAGCCTCATCTATCTACAATCAACAACAAAACCTTCCAAACATTTAGCACATTGAATCTCAGAGTTCCAAGTGTACAATCTTCATATCAAATATCAAAAGAGATCAGACACAGTGATGCCGGACGCAATCAGTCACAGACCCAATTTCATGGGTGAGGGTCCTGCGAACCAGGCACAAGGGACATTCACATTAAACGTGCTGAGGGGATGCAAGGAATCAGAATGAGTGAATGCCATGATCTCTCACTTGAAGAATGGCAAGGTGTCAGATGACAAGTGTCTTATGAAAGTAGTAGAAGAGATGCTTCTGAACTTCAAGCTGAGGAAATTGAAAAATGACATTATACTTTACTGCAATCTAGGATACACAGAAGCTCTCTATCTAGAATCTTCATTTCATCACAACTTGATGGCTCACATGCACAAGGAATTCGGTCACTTAGGAAGCCCTGGACTCATGGGCGTACTCAAATCAAGAGTGTACTGGCCAAGCATGGCCGAGGACATCCAGACATATGCTCACAAGTGCCTGAATTGCCAGGTCATGAAAGAATCTAAGAAAGAGTTAGAACATGAGAAAGCACAATATCAGGTGAAGTGTACAATACAACTGTTCAAATGATGGGGAGTGAACCTCATAGACATATTGCCGCGAACACCAAATGAAAATCAATGAATAATCACTGCTATTGATTACACTACTGGCTGGCCAGTTGTGAAAGCAGTTCCAGAGATGACAGAGAAGATGATGACAAAGTTTCTATATGATGAGATCTATGTCAACTATGGAATGCCACGCGAGATCCTAACTGATAACAGTATGAACCTTGTGAGAGAAGCAGTGAGGCATTTCATGAGCCAGTTACAGACAAGACATTGTAGAACAACACCATATCATCCACAGATGAACAGGAAGGTGAAACACTTGAATGAAATCTTGAACAACATGCTGACAAAATATCTAGTGAGCAAGCCTATGAGACTATGAGATGAATATCTCAGGCAGGCACTGTTGACCACACAGATTCAACAGCATGCAGTCTCCAAGTGTTCATCATTCTACCTGTTGTATGGATTGCATCCGCGCATCCCGGAGGATGCTTCGGAAAAGGTGAGGGAGAGAGCAGTTATGAACACAGCAGAAACAACAGTTGCAGACACAGCAGAAAAAGCAGTTGTGAATGCAACAGTCACAGACACAGAATCAAGATTGAAAGAGATCAGCCATGCACACATAAAAGCTAACAAGTTACTCCTGAACTGAGCAATCCAATCAAAAAGAATACAAGACTCACTTATTAAGAAATCAAGTCTCAAGGTGGGAACATGAGTTCTCATATACAATGAGAGTTCTGAGAAGTTCCAACCTAGGTGGTTTGAGTCATATAAGATACTCAAATCACATTCTCTGAGAATGTACACATTGAAAGAATCAGAGGAACAGGTCTTATACAACTTAATCAATGATTCACAACTTGTGAAAGCAAAGATGCAAGACCTGAGCAGATTATGGTCATTCACAGCACTATCATCAGCATTGAAAAAGAAGAGACTTACAATTGAAAAGCCTCATGAAGTAAGAGAAATCATAGACACTTACAAATCAGATGATCTCACTTATTCTGATCTTTCCACAATTACAAGAAAAGAATGGGAAGAAATGAAGAAATCAGATAAATGCCACACTTCAATAAGTGATGAGACTGTAGCCAGTTGTACAATAACACATCACAGACAGCAGGCGCAATGCAGCAAAGAGCAGTCTCAAAGCAGCAGACTTGCACGTGAGTCAGATTGCAGAAGAAAAAGGAATTCAGAGTTGAATTCAACTGTTTACATCAGTTCAATCACAGAGACCACAGAGGATGAACTATCTGAAACATCTGCAGATGCGTGAGACCAAGCCATCTCAACCCCTGAGAATGCTCAGAGATCAGATGAGGTTAGTTTCAATGAGTTGTTTACTGTAGTGGTCTGAGTGGGTGAAGAGAGACAGTATAATGCACAAGGCAGAATCACAAAGATGAAAGCTGTCAAACCTAGTCACTGAACACTGTATCATATAGAGGTCACATAAGAGTAGTGACTAGCAGATAAAGAAAAAGTGTAAGAAAAAGGAAAGAGATAATGAATTGATCATCAACTGTAAGAGTCAGCTGCAAAAAGACAAATGTTATCATACACACCTCATTCATTTTCATACACCACACATTTAATCTATTTCCAACACCATGCCACCTGAAAAACATCAAAAACAAAGGAAATCTCAAAACTTGAGATCCGCAAGGGATTCAAGGGCTGCAAGCCACTCTCACAACAATGTCACACACATCTCTGATTCCTCTACCACTCTGCATATAACATTAATGTCATTTATCACAAGATTGACTGGAATGCTAATATAGAAATGCATACATGTATGTGTAGAGAAATTGAAGGAGAGCATGAGACCTGTAGAACCAGGAGCCAGGGCAGGGGGAGTGGAGGCGGAAGAAACAGAAGGAGGAGGCGCAGAATCAGATGAATGACAGTGAGAGCCACTCAGGGTCAAACACTTATGACCCAGTGTGCACACAACCTTCTCCACAGAGAAGGGAGAGGAAGTGACAGAAGGAGCTTGAGGGCAGAAGAGAGTAGTCTCAGTGATGTTGTCATCTTTGATTAAAATGGCCTCTGGCGCCGGAGCAACTAAGAACTATTGTTAGCATACAAAACTGCAGAATCAGGGGTGAGAACAGTTACCAAATAAACACCCGCTGGCCTTAGAATTGTATGCACAATTACAACACACACAAGGCTTCTCAGGAAGAGAGAGAGGAACACAGGGGAATGCAGGAAGCAGAACACAGCATGTGAACAGCTCATTCTCACAACAACATCCCAGACAAGGTGTACAAGTCTCACACCCGCAGGTGTAAAAGAGTACAACATCTGCATTCTCATTCTCAAAAACATGAATATCTTTTGCCTGCATCACAAAGTTGGATGACAGATGCCAGAGAATAGGCTGATACAGATCTATCATCTCAAAGAAATTCATCAGAGTGAATGTCTCAGCAATGTTGAACTTTACAGTCATGAAAAGTTCCTTGATGTCTGTGAACACCATGACTTCATGCACAGCAAAACCCATAATGATTTTCTCTAAAGAACAGAAAAATCAGCATCAGATCAAAAAGATGAAAAGAAAAAGACTTACAATCTTGATACTGTTGAGAAGAGGGGTGATTCTCTGATATGAATGAACAATTGCTTCATCATGAATATTTAAAATGAACATAATAATCAGCATCTGTGATCAAGCTTCAGATAGTTGTGTTGTATGCAGCCTTCATACAATAAATTGTTCTGAGAGTCAGCAAGAAGGGTGGGAGCATACACACTGAGAGACATGGTTTATTAAGCCTACACAACATCTCCTTGAAATGAGGAGAGCTGATAACAAAAGCAGAGGTGGCAAAACCAGGAGTAGCAGAAGTAAGGATCACGGGAACAGGGGTAGCGGGAGCGGGAGAACCAGACACAGGGGCAGGTGTAGGAGATTGAGAAGGAGTGGCGGAGGAAGAAACAGAGGGGACAGGGGGGGATGCAGGAGACCTGGCCACACATGGCACAGACAATTCCTCCATTATCACATCCTCCAAGTTCTCAATCAATGATTCAACATTGAGTTCACTATCATCAGCAGACACAGATCTGTCAATGTGTGAAGATTCTATGCAAATAAAAACAAACATATCAGCATCTGCATTCATGCAAAATCATGCCAGAAAACATGATCAGGAACCCGCTGAGAGAGAAATGATCAAGGGTGTATGAGAAGGTGAAGAGGGTGTATGAGAAGGTGAAGAAGGTATGCCATTCATGGTAGTACATTCTGACAATCATTAGAAGATAAACAAGTCCTGACCACATTTCACAACACATTACACTTACTGCTAACAAACTGCCTGGTATGAGCACTACAATAACGCTTGTTATGGGAATGGGAGGCCATTGCCAGGAACATGTACAATGTGATAGATGAACAGATAGAAAGAGTTGAACAGGAGAAGGGGTAGAAATCTTGAATGATGATGATGTTCAATGATGATGAAATGAAGAAGATGATTGAAGAATGAGAAAAGTTAGTGAATGAGTGATGTAATATAGTGAAAGTTTCTTTGTGAGAGTGTACACAGAACACTAGCTGAATCAGGAATAGGCCACACAATTATGAAACACTAGTGGCGAGCTAATCCACATGAAGCTAGGGCGTACAACATGGTCACGTGGGCGTGACTGAATCTGATGGGAGAGGATGTGGTTCGGAAGAACATATGACTGTCAGATAATACTGTGACCGCTTCCGAACTACTAGCGTACGCGTATGAGTGTAAAGGGGCCATAGTGTACGCTAATTAATTTAGCGTACGAGATTACAATATAAGAAGCCGGCGTACGCCTGTAATCGTACGCTGGCTTAAGCAACCTTTGAATCACACAAGAAATATGATAGAGATTAATCAAGATTGTTTATTTACTTTTATACATCAATGATATTCAATCTGAGTAAGTACTAAAATTATAACTAAGCTAAGAAACAAGATTATTTTCTCTTATATTAATTCTTCTTACACACATCAGTGATCAGTTATTGAAAATAAATTATCATCTTTCTTAAATTATTATCATATCTTCTGAATTCACTTCTTTCACTTCTTTTACTTCTACTGAAGATTCACAAACTCTTCAAGAAATCACTGTGAATCACAAAGTCTATATTATTTACAATTCAACACAGAATGCTCTCTTTCAATTATAGTGAATAATCACTTCATTCTTCACATCTGATTTCCAGTCATGAAATTTATGAAAAACTCAACACAAACATTGAGATGAACTATGAAATAATTATCAACAGATTGTATTGCAGATTATCAGAGAGTCATCTCTCTGCTGCAATCACTGCAACTTCATTCAGAAACATTTATTATAAACTGATCATAGCTCTGAAGAAATTTTCCAATATCTGAAGTCATCAGAATGCAGACAATAAAAGGAAAATAATCAGAAAATTACTACTGAGCTGATAAGTTACTCTATCAGATAATGATTTTTGATAATACTAACTTTCTAATTTGAAGGAAATCATGTGAAAACAATTATATATCAGTACTCTGATTTCACAACTCTCATCTAATAACTTTTGTGAATAATTACTTCATATGTATATATCTCTGAATCTTTCTCTTTGATCAATTGAAAACCCTGAATTCTAAACACTTCTTTAAATGCTTAATTCAAATCTTCATATTTCACATCAATTCTGTCTTCAGTCCAACCTTGAGACACACTACAAAGTCAATATACAATATCTAGAATCAGAGTTGAAGAATCATCAAAGAGTATCTCTCACTGTGAATACATGAACTAGTATAAATAATCTTGCATTTATAGAAGTTACATGTTATTATATTGATGAGAACTGAACTTATTGAGAGACATTAATTGAATTTGAATCATTGATCAGTAGTCATACTGAGAATTATATAGCAGAGATATTAATGACTGTGATTAAAAATGACTATTGAGATATTAGTCTCAGTCTTCTTATAATTACAACTGATAATGCTGCAAATAACTACACTATAATGAAGAGCTTGAAGCAAAAATTGGCTTTGCATTTCTAAAATGATAAATAAGGTCATATTCTCTGTATTACTTATGTAGTTCAACTTGTGATGCAAACACTGATAAAGAATCTTAATATCAAGATAAGAAATAATAAGATGACTGATTCTTGAGATGAGAATAAGATGAAAGTAATTACTTAAGTAACTTTTACATTCACTTTGCAAAAGATAATGTTTTTTGATAACACTTTTTAATATTATTTTTTAATAATGCTTTTTAGTAATACTACTGTTAATTTTGAATAGATTGACTAATAATTTAAATATCATAGATTTGAAACATTACTAATGTGATTTGTATCTCTTCTAAATAATAACAATGATTTCATGATATTCAATAAATAAACAAATCAGTCACATCACTGAATATGATACAGAATATTAAAATATGATAAAGTTCAATATATAAGATAACTGTTCAGACTCTTCAATTGCATCAGATAATTGATCATTGAGTACAACACTCTGATTAGAAAAAGATTCAGATATTAAAACTTTCTGATATGAAGTGAACTCAGTTGAAATATATGATTGATTTACTGTTTCAGTTTTATAAGATAATAAAGACAGTCTCAATCACTTGTACACCAATGCTGCAGTCAGTCTGGTGAGTGTATAACAGTTTATTTACTCATCTTGAGAAGCAGTTGAATCATTTAAAAAGAAATTCAGTCTGAGATGATGCTATAGCACAGGCTATTATTACTGTAAGAAATAAACTGATATATTACTACAGCAAAACTGAACAATCTTTTACAGAGTACTATACTATAGCAGCTCTACTAGATCTCTTTCATTGAGTTAATATCTACACTTCTCAAGATTAAACAGAGGAGAAATGAGACTTATATGTTAAATTAGTCTGAGACTACTACAATATCAACTATCAGAGATTTAAATGAGCAGATGTTCAAGATATGAAGACAGTGAAATACAATTTTCTACTAAGTAACAATCTTTGATAATACTTCATATTTCATAGAACTATAATACTAACTTTGAAACAGAACTTATATACATTAATTACAACTGAAAATGAGATAAAATTATATACTTATAAAACTGAATTTGACTGTTATCTTCAAGATAATCTGACAAATTTATACATTAAATCAATTCTAGAGTTATGAAAAATTATTGAGAGTATATATTCAACTGTTGCACTGATAGTGCATAATATTCTGATAATTTCATTAACAGAGATGAGAATGAAGTGAAAGTTCAACTCAAGTTAAAATATTTATCACTATCACTGAAGACAATTATAAGAAGAAATAATCAAGAAACTTATAATTATAAAATATGAAATTATCAGACAGTTTAATATCTCTGATCACAGTATATCAGAGAAGTGTAGTTTTCATGAGAAAGTAAAGAATAAACTTACACAAGAATGTATTTAGTTATTTCATGAGTATTATTAATAATTATTATTAAATTCTGATTATATAAGTAATCACTGAATAAACTGAATGAGACTGATTTTAATCTTCAGTCTCAGTCTTATTCTGATTTTGAAAGAATGATTATCTTTCACAGTTTATTCTGAGAAATTACTCTTATTTCACTGTTCTTGAATTAAATCTGGTCATTTTTCACATCATTTCTCTCAGAAATGGTTCATTTTCAGATTTTTTTGAGACTTAGTTCTGGTGAGACTCACGCCAAGAAATGTATAAGACCAGATTAAATGAGATTAAATGTGAAATTCATGGTCTCACCGGCCAGTCTAGTCAATTGCATATTATTTTACAGCTTTTCATTGTGTAGAGAGCTTCATAACCTCTTAAAGAATAACATTGTTATGTTGTAATCTAACTACGCGAGTTACAACTAAATGAATAGGTTGGGGTAGCACGTGACTAGGGTAGGTGTAGTAATCACCAACAGTTTCTTTGTGAGAGTGTATGCAGAACACTAGCCGAATCAGGAATAGGTCACACAATCGCGAAACGCTAGTGACGAGCTAATCTGCATGAAGCTAGGGTGTACAACATGGTCACGTGGGCGTGACCGAATCTGGTGGGGGAGGATGTGATTTGGAAGAATGTATGACTGTCGGATAATAACACAGCTGCTTCCGAACTACTAGCGTACGCGTATGAGTGTAAAGGGGCCATAGCGGCTGCTAATTATAATTAGTGTATGATATTACAATATATAAGAAGCCGGTGTACGCCTGTAATCATACGCTGGCTTAAGCAACCTTTGAATCATATTATAATCTCTCACTTAGAGAATAACAAGATGTTGAATGATAAGTGTCTTATAAGAGTAGTAAAAGAGATGCTTCTGAACTTCAAGCTGAGAAAATTGAAAAACAATATTATACTTTACTGTGATCTAGAATATGCAGAAGCTCTCTATCTAAAATCTTTATTTAGATGTGACTTAATGACTCACATGCACAAGGAATTCAGTCACTTAGAAAGCTCTGAACTCATAAGTATACTTAAATCAAGAGTATACTGATTAAGTATGACTGAGAACATTCAGATGTATACTCACAAGTGTCTGAATTGTCAGATTGTGAAAGAATCTAAGAAAGAGTTAAAATGTGAGAAAGTATAATATCAGATGAAGTGTACAATACAACTGTTTAAATAATGAAGAATGAATCTCATAGATATATTACTGTGAAAATCAAATGAAAATTGATGAATAATCTCTGCTATAGATTACACTACTGACTGATCAGTTATGAAAGCAGTTTCAGAGATAACAGAGAAGATAATAGTAAAGTTTCTATATAATAAGATTTATATTAACTATGAAATACTGCATGAGATTCTAACTGATAACAGTGTAAATCTTATAAGAGAAGTGATGAGGCATTTCATAGATCAGTTACAGACAAGATATTGTAGAACAATATTATATTATTCACAGACAAATGAGAAGATGAAATACTTGAATGAAATCTTGAGCAACATGCTGCTGAAATATCTAGTGAGCAAGTCTATGAGACTATGAGATGAATATCTCAGACAGATGCTATTGACCACACAGATTCGACAGTATGCAGTCTTTAAGCATTCATTATTCTAGCTGTTGTATGAATTGCATCCGCGCATTCTGAAGAATGCTTTGAAAAAGATGAGAGAGAGAACAGCAGTTGTGAACATAACAGTTATAAATGCAGCAGAAACAGCAGTTACAGATGCAGTAGTAGCAGTTGCAGACACAGCAGTCACAGACATAGAATCAAGATTGAAAGAGATCAGTCATACACATATAAAAGCTAATAAGTTACTTCTGAACTGAGCAATTCAATCAAAAAGAATATGAGACTCACTAGTTAAGAAATCAAGTCTCAAGATGA